TCACGTAAAGAACTTTCAGAAAACTACCCAGCTCATGGAGGCCGGGTCTTCGTCCCGAGCTGGAGAAACACTAGTAGTTGAGATAGCATGCTCTCAATACTAGTGGCCAAGTGCCTCCACTGTAAGTGTAAATTTGAATTAATGCAATCAGATCACCCAGAAGCGATAGATATGGGTTTAGCATGGGTTAAAAGGTTCGAGGAAGACGTAGAACACGGATTTCAGTTGTGAAATTCGAAAAAATATCTACCTCGAGATCTAGATAGTCTATTCAGTCGAATTCTAACTAATGAGAATACGCAAGCGAAAAAAAAGTGTGTCATAGCGTTACTTTAGTAAATTGTGTTTTATAAACAAAGTAAAAGGTTCTGAAAAAAACCTTTTTAGCAAAAGAAAGCTCGTTAGCTCCTCTATAAACTTTCCTCTAGATACTTTTTACTAGCTCTTCTAAATTCACAGGAATTTGCACTTTAATGAGGAGTGGTTAGAATATAGGGCCTTTTTATGTCATAGCGTTATCGGTCTAAAGAGCTTTTCTGGAAGCTGGAGTTTTTAACCAAAAATCTTCGTTTTTATAATCAAAATAGAGTAAGAAGAGCCGCGTCGAACGGCGTAAAAACGAACTTTCCAGCTCCTATAGTTTTCGAGAAAAATGCAAATTACTGTGTCAAAAATGTCATAGCGTTACCCTTGGACAAGCTGCGTACGACAGCGGTTCTTGAGGCAGTTCTTTTCGGTTTGATGTTACAAACTTTCTAAAGTTTCTTTTGCTAATTAATGCTAGTTCTATTAATCCTTTCGAAAGATGTTGCCGCATGTTCTAATTAAGTCGGTTATACTAATTAATTTGATGATTAAAAGTCGTATTTTTTGATACACTTCGCAATGAATAAATTTGGTGATTACAAGTCACTTTTTTGATGATCAAAACACATTTTTTCCGATGTTTTTCGTTTGATTCTTTTGTTAGTTACATAAGTAATTGAAAACTGAAGAGAAGAATGAGTATTAAATGAATAATGTCATTTAATTTTTATTTACAAACATTGTTTTTTGTCATCATGATTGAATAGTTAATAAGGTTAAAAAAGTAAAAGGTTTTCTAACACTTAAGTATAAGTAACTTGTATTTAAGTGTTAGAAACCGTGAGTTCGAAACCGTTTACTTTTTTTTAACCTTATTAACCATTCAATCATGATGACAAAAAACAATGTTTGTTTTCCTTCATAATTAACTTTATCTATTTATTTCCAATCGTTTCGACTGACTAGCGCAATGAATAAATTTAGTGATTACAAGTCACTGTTTTGATGATCAAAAATAGTGATACTCAAAACATCTTTTGTTGGCTGACTGAATTTCATTGACTAATCAAAGGCTAGATGTAGAATGAAGAGCAGAATATTTGGAGGTGTTTACTAGACCTTACAATCACTTTCAGAAAACAATTTGTCGAATGAAATTTGATGAAGTTTCTACTCCATTTGATATGTAATATAGATAATATTTTTGGATCTTTCGCTTTCAGTTTTTCAAACTATTATATATCGTTCGAAAGCTTTTTCTTCGCTATATTTCTGAATATCACATATATGAAAATAGTCGTTCTGAGACCAAGTATGTTTCGAAATACGTCTATTTATGAAAAAATGATTCCCTACGTGCAAAAAGTCTCAGATATTCTATGTCAACATTTCTTATCCGACCACTACAATAAATGTACCAGTCGAGAGACAATCTCTCGAGCTACAGTTTCATATTTATAATATGGGGAAAAAATTGTAACGTGAGACATCTTGATATTAGAATTGACATTAGAAGAAAACTTCTGAGTATCCTATGATCAACATTTCTCATCCGGCCATTAGAATAAATATACCATAACGTGGTAATTGATCGAAAAAGTAAAGGAGTTCTAGTGTACGAAGAGAGCTTTTAACGGAGAGATAAAGATAAAACTACTGTTTACTCCGTCAAATTGTAATGATCTTCATCCGTTAAATTCACCGTGTCATCAAAATTAACGCATTTTTCACTATTCATCGTAATCGTAACTTTTGAGAACAATCCGAGAATACCATTATGAGACAAGGAGATTTTTTGAATAGAATGAAAGAAGTTCATCAATGGCTTCAAAATGTTTACGGTGCTTTTATCAGAAATCGCGATGTTGCAAACACAACACATTTTACTTATGCTTAAAACGAAATTTCAACAGCTTAATGTACTTTCTGCTTTTACAAGAGAAACAATTATCTTCAGAAATCAAGGTACATGGATAAAGTAAAAGAGTCTTAATTTCATTTCTTCTCGCTTCTTTATTCAGGCTGTCACAAGCAAACGTTACAAACACGTTTCAAAAATATTTTTTCAGCTACGTACGATGTTACACGAAAAAGCTATCATCTTAACATTATTAAGCTTTGCTACTATACTTCAGGGTTCCCATTACCGCGGTGGAACATTCACATGGAAACCGGTATAGAATTATAATATTTTTCTTCTTCATCATGTCATGTTGATACTTTGATAGGTCGATCCAACTACAGTACCTCAAAATCCAGTTCAAATTTCCTTTACTGAACGACATTCGTGGCGTCGTAGTAGTCAATATTGTGATCAAACTACGATCAATAGTGCTGGGACAATTGGAGCAGGTTCCGTTACTTGCGTTGGTAGTAGTTGCGGATCTTGCTGTTCAATCACAGCTGCAGTACCATGCACTGATTTCAGTGTGAGTCAAGATGTTAGTTCTGGACAACTAACAACAATCATCAACCTTGCTACAAATGTTAAAGTTGGTTTGACATTCACCGGTTCTGCATGGGTTGAGAAGGTATTTATTAATTAGGCAGCAACTCATTATTTAGTTTTATTTGTTGTGCATGATACATCGATCTTATAGAAAGAATCAAAATACGTTTGTGTAATAAATGAACATCTCGCCTCTGAATGCCGGCAGTTCGGGCTGGGCTGTATCAACAGAAATAAGGTAGTGAAAGTTTTACAAATCTCTTGTAATTAATCTTACATTAGCGAATATATTTCAGTACGGTACTCAGAGCAGATGGTACTTATAATACAGCTCCCACATCTGCTATGGTTGCAGTGAAAATACTTCGTCTGGGCTATTCTTACTCATTTTTGATTCCAACAGCTGATACAGATGGTGACACGGTTCGATGCCGTTGGGCAGCCAGCAGTGTCAGTGTTCCAGGTGGAACCCTTGATGAATGTTCTGGTATATGTCAGACTTTTCCCGGATCGTATTTAAACAATACCGCTTGTACGATGAGCTACACCGCAACATCGGTTGGTCTTTGGGCTAGCTACAATTCATCTATAACATTTTCATTTGTTGTAATTAACTGTAAGGAAGTCCAGAAGCTGACATCATAAAAGAACAGGTACTGTTGCTCTCATGATGGAAGATTTTGAGTTCAGCTGGTCAACAACTCCACTGTAAGTATCTCAGAAACAACCGGTTAAGAAAAGTCCAACAGGGCGGCAGATTACATGCCGTTCGACAGTTCATGAAAACTGGCAAAACAACAGTAGGAGTTGAGCGATTTTTAACAACTCTCCTTTTACACTTATTCCACTGTTAGCTTTTAAGTTACTCAGCAATTGCGAAGTATTTTTACTGCGTATACATCTCCGGAATGACATAAGCAAGAAGCAGGAAAATACCTATGGCTGCCAACCTATGGAATACGTGGGCTAAAATACCGATAACAAAAGCGAGTGTCTTGCCAAAGACAAGTCACGAGTGAAACATTGACATATACTTTTGATTTCATATTCGGATTCCGACCAACCGCAAGCTGTCAGTTTTTTGAGATTTTTAGTCATCAAAATTTCACTTAAAAACAAACATAGGGCGTTATCTGGAATCAGCGTCAAAAACTACATCAGATGATGTGTCTTCGAAATCTTTTGGAGAAATCAAAAATTTTGTCAAAATTTGCTCGCAAGCATAAAAAATCGAAAAATTGCCGAAATTACTAAATATTTCAGAGGCACATCATTTGATGCAGTTATTGACGCTGATTCCAGATATCACTTTATGTTTGTTTTTAAGTGAAATTTTGATGACTAAAAGTCTCAAAAAACGGAAAACTCGCGGTTGTTCGCCCATCTTGTTTTCAAGTTTTGAAACTTTTGCATCACTTTTAAAATAAAATTTTTGCTCTCAGTTTATGGAAAATTGAATTCTTTACCGCATGTGACCTTCGAATTGTTAGAGAGATTCTGTTTATAGGGTCGAAAGTGGCATTTTCTCGAAAATTGTGACCTTTCAAAATCCCAATTCTGCAACTGATGTGGGTTTAAAAAGTCACTTTTTACCTCAGAAAAATGAGGAACTATGTGACTTTGTTCACTTTTTATCGGGCTTCCGAATAAGATGTTGCTTGAACAGAACGGCTAAATAATGGTGAAGTTATAGTCAAAATATCAGAGATGGCTACTTTTCGTAAATCGACGGTGTAAATTCTCATTTTGTAAATTCTATGACTCAGCAAGAATAAGTCAGAAAGTTTTTTTTATTTTTCATAACCCCAGTTTTGATAGTAGAATCCGAATATGAAATCAAAAGTATATGTCAATGTTTTATTCGTGACTTGTTATCTTAATGGGCTGGCGAACCGCCTCTTAATTCGTCATATTATAATTTGGTTTACTCTCGTTTTAAAGCGGATTCTCGAAACTGTTTATATAAAAAACAATTATTTTTCGACTTATACGTTTGATGGTGTCAACTGGTTTCGTATAAATCCTTTAGAAAATCCACTTTGGTGTGAATTTCTGAAATATCGTCAGATTTGTAGGAAAATGGGCTTTTAAAGTCATCGTATTTCGTAGTAATGTGGGTAAACTTAAAAAGCTGTTGAGCAATCAACCGCCAGAAAGCAAAAAAGCTACCATGAGGTTGCCGATTAAGCGTGCGTCCAACTTCATCTTTGGCCGTCGCTAACTACGTACATTTTAGGTCCGGCGTGCCTTTACAATTTCTTGTGCAGGTCATCACTATCACTAGTTCTTGTACAGTCGCACCAGCCTACACTGGGACGCGACCTTCTGGAGCATGTATTGGGGTTGACATTGGCCAGTCTATCACCGACCAGGCAATATTTCAAGTCGGATGTACAGGAGTAACTTTAACAGATGTTCTGACAACTTCAGCTCCAGGTGTGAAAAGTTTCTTATTATTATCTCATATTGTAAAAATAACAAAAATTCAACTCATTTAGGTATGTCGCGTGGTACTCTTACGCAAAGTAGTAGTAATCCACTTGAATACTCAATGATAATGTCATGGACACCAACGGCTGCACAATGGGGTATAGGAACTAATTTCTAGCGCATTTTGTATTGCTTCATTCCATTCGATAAGTTTTGATTCTTTGCATGTGCGAAGTAAAGCTGGCTAAAGCTCGAGATAATTGCAACATCATTTGTCCTATCTATATCGAACAACAATAAGATAATTTCACTAATGAATTTAAAACAAGTAACGCTCGCTAACTCTCCGCCGAAGCCTCGGGACCGCTTAGTTATTGGTCTAGTTTTCGTTGTGGTGTCGGTCGCAAGTAACGTTCGTTTGCAACGTGACAGTTTTTCAGTATTATTCACTTCCTGCATATATACACAAGGTAATACTCATCTGCGCTCGATCTCTCGAATTTACGAACTTATATCTGCGAACGACCTTTGGTGATTTTGACTGAAAGATACTGTTCACATCTCTCTTCGGTCGGCGTCCGCTAGTGGACTGTCCATAATTAGTTAAGTGCCTTATCTGTTGCAGACGTTGGCTAACATGATACGCCAATTTCTCCTGTCTTGTGCTGCGTGAAGAAAGTCTATTTTCTCATATCCTTGTTTTTCAATCCAGATGTTCGTGTTTTCGAGGTACTTGATTCTTGGTCGGCCTTTGCCTTTTTTCCCATTGATTTTTCCACTTAGTACCAGGTGTTCCAAGCAACGTTTACGGATTATATGACCAAGGAATTTCAGGTACCTATATCGAATGGTATTCAGTAAACATCTTTTCCATTTCGTTCTCCTTAATATTGACTCATTGCTTTCTCTATCCGTCCAAGAAACATTCAGCATCCTTCTTAGGAACCACATTTCAGTAGCCTCCGAGCGTTTTTCCATTTCTTTGTTGATTGTCCAACATTCAGATCCATATAAGAGAACCGACCACACGTAACATTTGAGGATTCTTGTCTTAGTGCTGATCGATATGGTTCTATTTCAGAATTGGACTCATCTTTTGGAATGCTTGTTTAGAGAGAGAGCAATTCTCTTTTTGATGTCTTCATCACATCGTCCATCTGATGTTATGGTAGATCCCAGATAATTGAAGCGAACAACTTGTTTGATTGACTCCATAATACGTTATGGAATATGTGTAGGTACGACTGTCCACAATATATGAGTAGGTAGGTCCGTCGTTGTAGTGTGTTTCGGTGCTACGCAGCACCATCTATCACTCTAGTTATCTATTAGATAATATTGACCAATAGGTGTTTTATTGACAGACACACGCATTCAACGGTTGCAAGACTCTTCCCTCCGCTGGAGAGAATAACTATTTTAAATTCAAGAGCAGATCATTCGTACTGCATCGACAATAAGCATTGTTCCATTAATCGGCATAGCAAAGCAGGTTTCGCTAGTAACATTAATCATCATTGACTATAGAATAGTAAATACTCTTTCATACATATGTTAGTGGTCATATTCGGGTTCAATGGAATTCAGGCTATTCTAGGATCTGATTCTGGACTAGTGCAAAATAACAACTGAGTTTAAACTGCATTTTGTAAAAGAAAGCTTCCCTGTTATATCGTATATAAATAGAACAATGTTTGTCGTTTATTTGGTACAAATGTATTCAGAAAATAGAAATTATGATCCTCAAAAATTATTTAATCGATAACTTTGTTCTCAGTTGAAGCATAAATTAATCAGGAACCACGCACGCTGCTTCACTTGGTAACTAAGAAAACTAAAAGAAACTTCAGGACAGACAAAGTACTTAGATAACGTTCGAGCCAGTAATCAGAATAAGTAACATGTTAGACAAGCAGCCATAATTCACGAATAAAATTAACTATTTATTCTTTATTAAACAATACACTCTACGTTTCGGTTTCTTCATAAAGCTATTTCAAGAGAAATGTATAATTAAAATGTTTAAATGTACAACCACATAACTGTATCAATATATATAAAATTTTGACTGAGAGTATACAAAATTCACGAAAGACATAGATAGAAAACAAAAACAACAATATAGTAAAAATATACTTGTAGTTTTCTCTATTGTTTTGTTTTGTTCAACTCGACCACCAGGATCATATTTTTTTATTCGAGAGAGTCCGACTGGATAGACAATTAAACGAACAGATCTGACAGTATTATTTAGTCCAGGATTATTTGCAATGATGTAGAGAGATTCTTTGACTAACCGTCTATGTTCTGTTGAATTCAATATTACTTAGACAAAGTACTCCTTTTGTGAGATTAGTTACTCGTGAGTAGTATTTTTAATACTTTTGCATATGTCCTAAAGTTTTATTGCGACCGACTCATGAATGGCTGAAGCGAAGACTTTGTTGCGTCACACCATGAGCAAAATGGATATAAAAACCTATACAGAAAATAGAGTTTGCGAGGATTTCTGGAATACTCGTTTGATTCTCCAAACGTCGCTATGGCAATATACTACCTTTTCTCATGGCGAGATAGTGCAAAGTGTCCTCTTGAAATGTCACCCAGTCAAGACCCTGATTTCCAATAGTGGTATAGGTACTTTTGATTAAAATTTTCGTTATGGCT